TTGATTGTTGATTCTTGTTTGTTTTGGATTTGTTGTTGTTGGTGGTATTGTGTGTGTATTTTTCCCATTTTCTGGCTTTTGGTAAAGTGGGATTATCTATTTCCTATATTTTTGTAAATGTAGTTAACTTCCTTGGGTTGAAGTTTTCTTTCCAGAGCTTTCTGTAGGAGTGAATTTTTGTATATATATTGTGTAAATTTGGTTTTGTCATGGAATATCTATTTTTCTCCATCTATAGTGATTGAGAGTTTTGCTGGGTACAGTAGTCTGACATGGCATCCATGGTCTCTTATTATTTGTAGAAAATCCATCCAGGACCTTCTGGCTTTGAGCATTTCTATTGAGAAGTCAGGTGTAATTCTGATAGGTCTACGTTTATATGTTATTTGGCCTTTTTCTGTTGCTGCTCTTAATATTCATTCTTTATTCTGTATGTTTGGTGTTTGGATTATTATGTGGCACGGGGACTTTGTTTTTTGGTCCAGTCTATTTGTGTTCAGTAAGCTTCTTGTACTTTCACAGGCATGGCCTTCTTCAGGTTGGGAAAGTTTTCTTCTATGATTTTGTTGAATATGTTTCCTGTAACTTTGAACTGGGTTTCTTCACCCTCTTCTTTACATATTATTCTTAGGTTTGGTCTTTTCACAGTGTCCCATATTTCCTGAATATTTTGTGTTAAGGATTTGTTGGATTTAAGATTTTCTTTGGCCAATGAATCTATTTCCTCTAATTTATCTTCAACACGTATGATTCTCTCTTCCATCTCTTGTATTCTGTTGGTTATGTTTGCATCTGTAGTTCCTGATCATTTATCCAGCTTTTCTATTTCCAGCATTCCCTCAGTTTGTGATTTTTTATTGTTTCTATTTCAATTTTCTGACCTTTAACTATTTGAATTGTTTTCTTCATCTGTTTAATTGTTTTTGCTTGGCTTTTCTTGCTTTCTTTAAGGGATTTGTTAATTTCCTGCATTTTTTGGTTTGTATTTTCCTTCCATTTCTTTACAGGATTTTCTCATATCCTCTTTGAGGACCTTTATCATTTTCATGAAGTTATTTTTTAAGATGATTCTCATGTGCTTCATCTGCATTGGTATGTTCAGGTCTTGCTGGTGTGGAATTCCTTGTCTCTGGTGGTACTATATAAGTTTTTTGTTGTTGAATGTGTTCTTATACTGTCATCTTCCCATATCTTCTTGTAGTGAGTACAGGTGGGGTCTCTCCCTCTCTTGGTGGTATGGTTTCAAGGCTCTATCGTCTCCTTTTTCCTGGAGCGTGTAGGGGTAAGGTAGGATGGTGGTTGAAGCTGGATACTTTTTTCTGTCTCCAGGATCCTTTTGTGGATTTGGTGATATGAAGGGTCTGGCGGCTGCAGGTCAGAGTAGTCAAAGAGGGAAAGGTGGGCTAGAAGAGCCCCTGGCACTCACCTATATACCGGAGGGTGGAGCAGCAGGACAGGAAATCATGCTGTTTTTTATTACTGTAGCTCTGTGGTAGACCTTGAATTCAGGAATGGTGATACATCTGGAAGTTCTTTTACTGTACAGATTTTTTTTTAGCTATACTGTTTTTTGTTTTGTTTTGTTTTCCATATGAAGTTAAGTATTGTTCTTTCAAGGTCTGTGAAGAATCATGAAGAATTTTGATGGGTATGACATTGATTCTGTAGATTGCTTTTGATAAAATGGTCATTTTTATTATGTTATTTATTTCTACTAATCAATAAGCATGGGAGATATTTCCATCTTCTATCTTCTCCAATTTCTTCAAAGACTTGAAGTTCTTGTCTTACAGATCTTTCACTTGCTCAGTTAACGTTACACTGATACATTTTGTATTATTTGTGGCTATCATGAAGGGTGCTGTTACGCTGATTTCTTTCTCAGCCCGTTATTCATTTGTATATAGGAGAGCTTCTGACTTTTTAAATTAATTTTGTATGCAGCCACTTCTCTGAAAGTGTTTATCAACTGTAGCAGTTCTCTGGTAGAAATTTTAGGGTTGTTTATGTATACTATCATATTTTCTTTAAATAATAATGCTTCAACTTCTTCCTTTCCAACTTGTATCCCCTTGATATTCTTAAGTTATGTTATCACTCTAGCTAAAACTTCAAGTACTATATTGAATAGATATGGAGATAGGTGACAGCTGTGTCTTGTTCCCAATTTTAGCAGTATTGATTTAAGCTTCTCTCCATTTAATCTTGGCTATCTACTTGCAATACATTGCATTTATTTGTTTAGGTATATTGCTTGTATCCCTGATCTTTCCAAGACTTTTTATATTTTTTTTATTTAACTTTTTATGCATGTCACTTTCTGTTCCCTCTCCCTCTACTTCTCCCCACCCGCAATCCTCCCAACCCCTCACCCTGATTCCATCCCCCGCCCAGCTCCCCAGGGAGGGCAAGGGCCTCCATGAGGGATTTTTTGGTTTTTTGAGGCAGGGTTCCTCTGTGGCTTTGGAGGCTGTCCTGGAACTCGCTTGGTAGTCCAGGCTGGTCTTGAACTTACAGAGATCCGCCTGCCTCTGCCTTCCGAGTGCTGGGATTAAAGGCATGCGCCATCAACGCCCGGCTCCATGAGGGATTTTCAGGGTCTGTCACATCATTCTTAGAAGGGCCCAGGTTCTTCCCCATGTTACCAGGCTGAGAGAGCATCCCTCCACATGGTATGGGTTACTAGAATCCTTCTGTATACCAAGAATAAATACTGCTCCACTCTCCAAGGTCCCACAGATTGCCAAGGCCTCCTCTTTGTCACCCAGGTTCGGTTGGAGGGTGTCTGGATCAGTCTCATGCTGTCCCCTCAGTCATCAGTCTGGGGTCCATGTGTTCCCCCTTGTTTAGGTCAGCTGCCTCTGTGGGTTTCGCCAGCCTGATCTTGATTCGTTTGGTCATCACTCTTCTTTGCAACTGGGTTCAAGGACTTCAATTTGGTTCACAGCAGTGGGTGTCTGCCTCTGCCTCCATCAGCAACTGGATGAGAGTTCTAGGATGGCATATAAGGTAGTCATCATTCTAATTATCATAGGAGAGCATTTAAGGAAGCCTTAATGCCAGTTGGTGTCATTCTTGTAGATCTGTGAAGATCTCACTAGTGTGAGATCTCTCCTCCAACTTGTACTGGCTCCCTCTTTTGTGGTATCTCCCACCCTTTTCTCCTCTATTACCCTGGTTCGACCTTCCTGCTGTCCTGTGTCCTCCTCTCCCCTCCTCTTTTCTCCCCCTCTTTCTCCCATCTCCTTCTACCCTCCCTTTTCCCCCCTCCAATCTGATTAGGAGATCGCATCCCCTAACCCTTCTCCAAGTTACCATGCTTATCACTCTTAGGGTCCTCCCTGCACTCTCTGGTGGTGGGATTGTGGGCTGGCAATGCCCTGCTCCATGTCTAAAATCCATACATGAGTGAGTACATATATACCATGCTTGTCTTTTTGTGACTGGGTTACCTCACTCAGTATGGTTTCTTCCAGTGCCATCCATTTGCCTGTAAATTTCAAGATTCCATTTCTTTCCTGTTGAGTAGTACTCCATTGTGTAAATGTACCATATTTTCTCTATCCACTCCTCAGTTGAGAGACATCTAGGTTGCTTCCAGGTTCTGGCTATTACAAATAATGCTGCTATGAACATAGTTGAGCACATGTCCTTATTGCATGAGGGTACATCTTTTGGGTATATGCCTAAGAGTAGAATTGCTGGATCTTGTAGTAGACTGATTTCCATTTCTCTGAGGTATCTCCATACTGATCTCCAAGGTGGCTGCACAAGTAAGCATTCCTACCGGGAGTGGAGGAGTGTACCTCTTTCTCCACATCCTCTCCAGCATAAACTGTCATTAGTGTTTTTGATTTTAGCCATTCTGATGGGAATGAGATGGTATCTCAGAGTTATTTTGATTTGCATTTCCCTAATGGCTAAAGATGTTGAGCACTTTCTCAAGTGTCTCTTGGCCATATTGGACTCCTCTATTGAGAATTCTTTATTTAGTTCTGTACCACATTTTTTAATTGGATCCTTTGGTGTTCTGGAGACTTGCTTCTTGAGTTCTTTGTAAATTTGGGAGATCAGCCTTCTGTCAGATGTGGGTTTTGTGAATATCTTTTCCCGTTGTGTGGACTGTCATTTTGTCTTGTTGACTGTGTCCTTTGTCCTGCAGAAGCTCTTCAGTTTCAGGAGGTCCCATTTATTAATTGTCAATCTTAGTGTCTGTGCTACTGGTGTTATGATCAGGAAGCAATCTCCTGCACCAATTCTTTCGAAGGTAATTCCCACTTTCTCCTCTAAGAGATTCAGTGTAGCTGGATTGATGTTGAGGTCTTTGATCCATTTGGACTTAAGTTTTGTGCATGGTGATAGATATGGATCTATCTGTTGTCTTTTACATGCCAGCATCCAGTTACTCCAGCACCATTTGTTGAAGATGCTTTCTTTTTTCAATTGTATAGTTTTAGCTTCTTTGGCAAATATCAGGTGTTCAATGGTGTGTGGGTTGATATCAGGGTCTTGGATTTGATTCCATTGGTCTACCTGTCCAAGACTTTTTTTTTTTGATTTTTACGAGACAGGGGTTCTCTGTATTGTTTTCGAGGCTGTCGGTCCAGCCCAGCCTCGAACTCACAGAGATCCGCCTGCCTCTGCTGGGATTAAAAGTGTGCGCCACCACGGCCCGGCTTATCCAAGACTTTTATCATGAAAAGCTGGGAGATTTTTGTCAAAGGCTTGTCAGCATCTAGTGATAACATAAGCATAAATAAGCAGTTATCCTATTGGATATTATCACATATCTCTAATCCACTATTCTGGTGAGCTTTAAGATATAACTCGATTTCATGAGGGAAGTCCTCACATATGTCAGATGTCTGAATTCCATTTCTTTCCTTATCCTGGGCACACTCTGTCTTCTAATACAGGTATTTTAATTAATAGAATGCAATTCACCAATCAAGTGGTTTATCTATGATATGAGAGCTTTTTGTTTTGTTTTTTATTGCAAGTGAAACCTTGTGATTTTCCACAAATCAAAAATGGACACCTGCATTATGAAGAGAGCCGCAGACCCTACTTCCCAGTACCTATAGGCAAGCAGTTCAGCTATTACTGCGACAGCGGATTTGTGCTTCCTTCTGGGTACAGTTGGGACTACATGAAGTGTACCATAGATGGGTGGGAGCCTGCAGTGCCATGCCTCAGTAAGTCAATGTCTATGTTAAATCATGTTTAATTATTTTGAAGAGTGGAAAGAGTAGAGTACATACATAATTACGGTTAAGTTTTCATGACAAAAATAAAACTAACAGAAGAGATTGTTAGCAAAATAGACTAATTTCTGTCCTTTGTGAACAGCTTTTCATGCACACAAACGATAGGAGTTATGAGAATACTTTTATTGCTTGCATATTTTATTTATAAAACTAAAGTAAAAGTTACTCTTTTAGATATTTGGTATCAGTTTTATTTTTGAATGTCATGCATGCTCACTAAATGGCTGTAATAATAAATTTCAACTTAGTTCATTTTCAAATAGATGACAGTATTTATTTTCTTTCTAATTTATCATTTTTATCATTCTTAGGACAATGTGTTTTCTATTATGTGGAGAATGGGGAATCTCCATACTGGCAAAGAACATATGTACAGAACCAGTCTGTAAAAGTCAAGTGTCACTCTGGCTACAGTCTTCCAAATGGTCAGGACACAATTACATGTACAGAGAATGACTGGTCTCCTCAACCCAAATGCATCCGTGTCAGTAAGTAACTGGCTCTGAGATGGCAAGATGCTCTTGACTTGCTAACTCATTTATATTAAACAGGACAAAATGCTTCATTGTTTCAAGTGTGTATATGTGAATACTGGGGATTCTTGATAACTATGTAGCAAAGTACACACATGTAAGTACACACACATTAAGCCATAATACAAGAAACATTGAGTATGCTTTTAACTCTTAGTACAATATACTTTGAAATCACTGCATTATTTGACTCAAACCAATTATGAACATATAATTGAAAATTGACCAATATGACCAAAGCCACACACATCATCCATATACACAAGAAGTACCATGACATGTTAAATAGCAGTAATTGCCTCTTAGTACTTTGTGATGTGTTACTGGGAAGGGAATTTTGGAACAGTGTTCATGGTTGTCTTTTTATGTTTTTCTCCAATCTTTGTATCAATATATGTTTGGGTAACAATATATGTTTGTGTTGACCATTTCTTCATGTTATATTGCCTTGCAATTGACTGTGCTATGTCATACTTTATTATTAAATATAAATGATTTTTAAAATAAATGTCCATAAAATGCTACAATACCATAGTGTTGATATGTATTCCTTTAATTATCACTTGGGTTTTAAAAATATAATTCTAAATCAGTTTAAGATTATAATTTTTTCAAATGCAGTCTTTTCTAATTCATGACTTTGTAATTATTTTTCTGCAAAGTTAAGGATTCTAAAAATTAATCTTTTAGTTATAATTATCACATATGTGTTCTTTGTTTACTTCAGATTGCTAACTTCAATATAATCTTAATTAGATTATATTGACATTATCTTTCACTTTCAGAAGAATTTTGAAATAATCATCTAATATTGAACCTTTGTGAATGCAATATGTATTTAAAAGTTTATTTTGTTTTTGAATACTTGTCAGTTGCCTCCTATTGTACCAGTTTGTTGATAAGAAATCTTTTTTAGCTTTAATATTTTTATATACTTGTCTTCCATTTGATCTCTAAGAATTTTTAATCTTCATATTTAAATTTTTATATAATTAACACTAGTGACAGATTTAAACCTGTACTATTTTTATTTGATATTCTCTCCTTCATACTACTTTTTCTCATCGATTTAATTTCACATATTCTTCCTAGATTTTCTGTTAATTTGGCTGATCTATATAAGAGCACGGATTTTTCATATTTCTGTGTCTTTTTCCTTTTTGAAGTCTTATCCAAGTATATTGCTTAGGTTTTCTTTCTCCAAGTAACTCAAAATATCTTAGAATAAATGATAGTTTTATGCTTACTTTCCAAAGAGTTGTCTTTGAATCATCATTATTATTCAGAAAGCAGTTCACATTTATTTCATGTTGAGTCCAGAGGCATTCACAAATGAATGTGCTTATATAACTAAAACCTCAGCTAGAACCAATCTTAAACTTCTGATGAATTTTTCTTCTTCTTTCCTCTTCAGTCTAATCTCAACTCCACTATTCTAGGTAATAAATAGTTATTTTATTACTATAGTGTTTCATTTCTACCATATACTGTCAACAGAATTATGCATCATGGGTTTGCTGTTTTAATTTTATTATTTTTCTTTTTATTTATTCTTCTATCATTCAATACATCCCAACAGCACCCTCTCCTCCCTTCACTCCTTCCAGTTTTCCCCTTCCTCCTTTCTCCCCCAGATCCATTTCTCCTGTTTCTCTTCAGAAAAGAGCTGGCCTCCTAAGGATATCGAGTGAGTATAGCATACGAATACACAAAAACCCTCATATCAAGGCTGGATGAGGCCATCCAGTAATAAGAAAATCATTCCAAGAGCAGACAAAAGAGTCAGCAATACTCCCACTTCCACTGTTAGGTACTGCACAAAATCCCCACACTAAATAACCACAGCATGTATGTAGGCGACTACTTCAGACCCGTGCAGGCTCTGTGGTTGCCACTTCAATCTCTGTGAGACCCTATAAACCCTCCTTAGTTGATTCTGTGGGCTGTTACCTGGTGTTCTCCATTCTTCTTCCTTCTCATTTTTGTGTTCTCCAAGCTCTGCCCAATGTTTGGCTGTAGGACTCTTCATCTGCTCCACTCACTTGTGGGAGGAAACCTCACTGGTGACAATTGGGCTACGTATAAATATAGGAGTATAGCAGAATATCATTTCAATGACTTAGAGAAAAATGTGTTGGTCAGTTATGTTTGATTTTACCCTTGTTCTCTGTGCCAGCCAGCTTCCTGTCCTTGGTCATTTAAGCAGTGTCAGACATGGGTTTCCTCTTATGGTTCAGGGCAGAGTTGATACCAAACATTCGCTGGTAACTTTCACAAGCTCTGAGCCAAAACTGTCCCAGCACATCTTGCAGGCAAGACATGTTGTGGGTTGAAGGTTTTGTGACAGTTTTGGTGTCCCAGGCCCACCACTGGAATCTGTAATGACCATTCTTCCCACAAGCCTGGTCCAAGAGCCTCATTAATTTCATATAACACACTGAGACTATATTATTTACAATGCTGTCAGGCAATGCATGGGACTTCTCATTGGCTAGTTCTGTCTTAAGTATTTCTCATAACTACATATATATATAAGCTTATCTTACCGAGGACACCAGCCTCATGTGTCCTCTCTTCCTGGAATCACATGGTGATTCTCTACTCTTTACTACATTTCCCAGAATCCTCCTCAACTCCTAGTCCCACTTGTCTTGCTTCCCTATTGGGCAATAGGCTTTATTTATCAACCAATAAGACAAACATACACAGGAAGACTTCCCTCATCAGAAACCCTTGCTAAGTATTCTCCATTACTAGGAATTTTCTCTAGGGTCACTTGTAAGTGTTCCAGGAAGTTTCCATTGCATTTGGTTTCCACATCATCCCCTAAATGGCCCCCTATTTCAGTCATCTCTCCCAGCACACTTTCCCTCCATCCCTCCCTCACCTGATCCTTCCTGTTCCCATCCTCATTCACCCCCATTCCACTTGCAAAATCTATTCTGTTTCTCCTTTCATTGAGATCTATGCATCCACCATAGAGCCATCCTTGATACCTAGCCTCTTCTAGGTCTGTAGATTTTAATGATTATCTATCGTGTAACAGCTAATATCCACTTATAAGTGAGTACCTATCATATTTGTCTCTCAGTGTCTACATTGCCTTAATGAGGATGAGTTTTTCTAGTTCCATCCATTTACATCTAAAATTCATGATGTCCCTTTTTTCTAAGAACTAACACCTAATTGTGCAAATGTTCAATATTTTCTTTATATATTCTTCTGTGGAGGGATATCTAGATTAGTTTATGGCTATTATGAATAAAGCTATTCTCAACATAGTTGATAGAGTGCCCTTCTGATAGAATGGAGCAACTGTTGGGTATATGCCCAGGAGTAATATAGATGAGCCTTAAGATAAATTGATTTTCAATTTTCTGAGCAGCTGCTATATTGATTTCCAAAGTCTTTGTGTAAGTTTGCACTCCCACAACTAATGGAAGAGTATTATTGATCCTCATCCTCTCCAGCATGAGCTGCCACCTATGTTATTGATGTTAGCCATTCTGACACTTGTTAAGATGGAATCCCAGTATCATTTTTCTTTACTTTCTTTTTTATTAATTTTTTATTTTTAAGTTTAAATTTAGATTAGAAACATGGTTGGTTCACAAGTCAGTTCCAGGTTCCTCTCCCTTTCCCTCCCTTCCTCCCGTGCCCTCCCCCCAAGTCCCCATTATCCCCTCCTTTCCCCAGGGAGGGTGAGGCCCTCTATGGGGGTGTCCATAGACTGTCATTTCATCCAGGGCAGGGCCTAGACCCTCCCCGCAAGAGTTCAGGGTGAGAGTTCATCTCACATTGTTGGATGGGAGTCCAAAGTCCATGTGTATACTTGGGATGAATACTGATCTACTGCACAAGGCTCAATAGATTACCTAGGCCTCCTCACTGACACCCCCTTCAGGGGGTCTTGATCTGTTCCATGATGGATTCCCAGGCATCAGCCTGGGATTCAAGAGTTAACCCTTGTCAGGTCAGCTGTTTCTGGAGTTAAACCAGCCTAGTCTTATTTTGATTTGCATTTCTATGATAGTTGAAGGTATTGAAAATTTCTTTAAGAGTTTCTCAGCCATTTGAATTCTGCTATTGAGAATAATCTGTTTATATCTGTACCCCAATTGTTTTTATTTTTAAAACAATTTTATTTTACATAACAATCCCAGTTCCCTCTCCCTCTCATCCTTCCACTCTCTCCACCCAAACCCCCAGTGAACTGGCTTTTGAGTCCATTCCCTATGGAGGGATACCTTGCTCAGCCTAGAGAGCATTTGTCCTGCCTTAAATGATGTAATGGACTTTGTAACCCAATTTTTAATTTATTGGTTCATTGATGTCAATATTTGAGTTCTTTATATAATTTGGATATTAGCCTTCTATAGGATTTATAGTTAGTGAAAATCTTTTCCCATTCTGTAGACTAACATATTATCCTATCGATTATGTCCTTTTCTTACAGAATCTTGTCAGTTTCATGAGGTCGAATTTATTAATTGTTGATCTTAGGGCCTACACTGCAGATGTTCTGTTTAGGAAGTTGTCTTCCTTGCCAGTGTGTTCTATCAGGTTCATTGTGTCTGGTTTTCTGTTGACCTCTTTGACTTGAACTTGAGTTTTCATCAGGATAATAAATATGAATATATTTGTATTCTAAAGGCAGGCATCCTATTAAGCCAGCACCATTTGTGAAGAAGAGGCCTTTACTCCATTGTGAATTTCTACATTCTTTATAAAAAATCAGATGTCCATTGATGTGAGAATTTACATCTGGGTCTTCAATGCAATTCTACTGATGAACCTGTCTGTGTTTATTCCATGCAGTTTTTGTTAATATATGTCTGTAGTGCAGCTTGAAATCCTTGATGGTGATACCTCTCCAAGTACTTTTATGGTTCAGGATCATTTTAGCTATCCTGAGTTTTCTGTTTTTCCATATGAAATTGAGTATTTTCCTTTTG